ATGCAAATAGTCTAATAAACAAAGAAAAACAAAATTGAAAAAAATAAATTTTTTTTAACTAATTTTTTGGGGGGGATAAAACTAATTATTATTTTTTTTAATATATGCTATTGTGATAGCCAAGTCATAGACATGATTTCAGCTGACACTTGTATTTGATGTTAATTTTTTACCATTTAGGAAAATTGTTGAAAATTCTACATTTTTTCTCTTCCTATTTATGCTACGATGCTGAGACTTGGACCAGATGAAACCTATTTCATATACAACTAGTCAAAAAAGTTGGAAATCGAACTAGTTTTCATTTATTGAATATTTGGGACTGATGGCCCCTAAGTTATTGTAAATTTTTTTGAATTGCAAGTCAGAGGGAGGAAAGTGCGCACAGAGTCAGAACGAAAGAATTAAATTAGAAAAAACAGGAGAGCACTATATTGCACACTTTTCTTTAAACTGAATAGGTATACAGAAAATTAATAAAAACAAAATGTTGTGTGAAGTGATCTCACTGCAAGCTATTGAATATTTATTTTAAATATTCGTTGAATTTGCATCTTTACGAGTTGTAGGAGATACTGTTGCCACTATGTTCATACAACTGACAATATACCTTCCCAGGACACACACCCACTCTTTACCACCACCTGTACTCGTAGCCGCAAATGACGGCCTTGTAGGAATATCAGTGGAACTTGTAAAGGGCTCTCCTGTAGCTCCGCTTCCTGGTGCTTGCAGTTACCCAGATGTGTAGGCTTTTCTCAACGGGGCCAGAATGCTATCAACATCGTCGGCTGCACTCATCAACATACAAGCATATAACCTTGGCCTGTGAATCACTTTAACATGCAGAGTTGTTTCCTGTTAATAGTCTGAAACTTCTCTATGAACAGACCGAAGACAAATTATGAAACTCAACTAATTTACCTTCATATTATTGAATACTTTCTTCTATATCCTGAACTACCTCAGTAATACTGATATGTTTATAATTATTTTTTTATACTAAATTACATAAAAATATCAAAATAAGCAACAATGAGGGGAAAAAAAATTCATACAGTGAGGATAATATTCTCAGCTAATAGCAAAGTCCTCCAACTTATAAAGCGTTCTAATCTAAGAGTATCCACCAACACACTTTCCTTCTATACAAACAAACCAAGCGATCTAAAGGCAAGCCCTTGGGGTATATTACACCTCTACTACCGCCAGGTTCACTAATCTAAGAGCTATAGAACTACGGGAATAACGCGTCACAACACTCGCTCACAACAGCCACTGCAAACCTGCCTCCATACCCTGTGTGCTGTAGTCGCTGGCTGCTCTCTTCTGCCGAAGGGTCATTATTTTGCCGACTCGAATGTATGCTATCTCTTTTAGAGGTTCATGCAGTGATGGTATCCAAGAGTTAGGGGTGGGGGGAGGCTACATATTATTAAATACTTTCATATATCTTTTATCTTACTTTGGTATGCTTATTACATATTTACTGTAAACAACTTATGTTATTGCTTCTATGAGTTGATGCATGTACAGACTTGATTCCTTCAGAGGTAATACGTCATTATTCGGGAATTAAATTTATGCAATAAGCTTAATATGTACTACAATGTTTAATGCTCTTTCAGGATTATTTATCATTTACTGTGATTCATTATATGTAATTCACAACATTCCAAGATCCTGAAGGTTCTCTTTGCAGATATTTATGCTAAATTTTGCATTACTAATCGTCAGGTTTAATATGAAAACTAATTTTTACATATTAAAAAAATAACTTATACATATTAGTGAAATATATAATCTAAACTTATATGGCATTAAACATTTAAGGAAACTTTCAATTAAATAATTTAAAAATAGTACTACTGTCTATTCCAAGACTTTTTTCAGGCTTTGTATCTAAAGATAAATTCCTCTCGTGTATTCGCCATTTCCAATATCTAGTAGTCTAGAAAAATTAACCAGACTACCTTTCTCCTCATATGCCAATCATTAGTCATAATTCAATAATAACATGTTCAGCAGTAATGTTCATTTAATTAATGACCTTTGCTGTACCTATTTATGACTTGATATTAAAGTTGATTACAAAATGTTCCAAGAGTTTTATTTTGAAAATTCTGATGTAAAATTCTATAGAATATTTTGGGAAAAATCCTATATTGAGCACTTTCAAAATGTGTAATTCATGGTACCTCTGACCTTTATTAAGAGCTCAAAACCCGGCTGAAGCTCATTGTGCCAATTATAACAAGCTTCGCTAGTTCAGCACATCTGTGCATCTTCAGTGACAATATTGTCTATTAACAAATTATAGTATAGTACTTTACGTCAATATACACTTACTTTTTTAATATTTCTTTTTTACCTAGCATCTTAATTTTTTTAATTATACAAAGTCATGATTATGATTTGTTTAAATACTTTGCATACCTCGATACCTTTTTCTCAATTGTGGATTAAATGGCATAATGTAGGCTGGGAAATACGAGCTAGTTAACTTTCTCTGGGAGTCAGGTCTAAATCCCAGACCTGACGTGGTACTATATTTGGATTTAGAAAAATAGTGGACACACCCAGCCAAAGCCTTGGTTACGACAGGGGGTTCAATTTATGACTTCATGTTAATATTCTCATTTGCCCAAAAAATTACTCTACCAATATTTCATGTATTTAATAATGGTAGCTATTCTTTACCTAAATTGTGGATGCCTTCATATATGATATTGTAATCCTCCATTAAACATTTTGCCGTTTTGATAACCGGCACCTTTTTACCCTATAGTATTTGATTATTTGATAAGTGTGTGTATGAGGGGGGTTGAGAGTGCATGTGGTGGTGGTGGTGGTGGTGGTGGTGGTGGTGGTGGTGGTGGTGGGGGGGGGGGGGGGGAGGGGAGGAGGTTACATTGGGGAAGGGAGCGCACTTTATGAGGGGGGGGGGAAGAGGGGGAGAGAGAGTGTATGTGAGTGAATGAATGAGTGACAAAAATTGTGCTCTAAGACAAGTTTTCACAAGGTATGGGGATGGGGGTGTTTGGATGTGGATTTTTTTTGGTGGGAGTAAAGAGGAAGGAGAGGCATAGGTGAAGGGAAGTATAGAAGTGGAAAATACAGTGAGAGGTATGAAAGCAGGCGGCTGTCCGCCTTGCTGACACGATGTGTGGGTGTTGGATAGTGACAGTTAGGTATGGGGAGGGTTGGTCGGGTGTGGATAATGGATGAGGATAGTGACAATTAGGTATGGGGAGGGTTGGTCGGGTGTGGATAATGGATGTGGATAGTGACAATTAGGTATGGGGAGGGTTGGTCGGGTGTGGATAATGGATGTGGATAGTGACAATTAGGTATGGGGAGGGTTGGTCGGGTGTGGATAATGGATGTGGATAGTGACAATTAGGTATGGGGAGGGTTGGTCGGGTGTGGATAATGGATGTGTATAGTGACAATTAGGTATGGGGAGGGTTGGTCGGGTGTGGATAATGGTTCGCAGGTGGGGGAAGGGGAAGTTGGTTGGGTTTGAATAATGGCAGGTGTGGAAAGGGGGGGGGGTGTCAGGTGTGGATAATGGGCAGCGAGGGGGGTGTCAGGTGTGGATAATGGCAGCGAGGGGGGAGGGGGGGGTGTCAGGTGTGGATAGTGGCAGCCATGGGGGGGGGGGGTTCAAGTGTAGATAGTGGCAAGCAAGTATGGGGTTGGTTGGTCAGATTTGGATTGTGGCAGGCAGGTGTGCATGCATGTGTGGGCAAGGAAGCAAGGTAGGAAGAGTGGGATTTTGTGTGTATTATTATTATTATTATAATATTATATATATATATATATATATATATATATATATATATATATATATATATATATATATATATATTATATAATTATACATACACACTGTATATATAAAAAAAAGGTTCATACATTGTGTACTTTCCTAATTGTGCCAACAATGGCATGTGGAGAAGGTGTGCACGCACACTATGTGGATGGCGGGAAAGGAACAGGTGTGGCACATACTTTGTACTGTCGAGGGTAAACAGGTGTCCTAGTTGTGTATGGAAAGTCGAGTGAGAGGAGTGCAGAGTACATGAAGGAACTCTTGTTTAGTGGAGTGAACTGATTTATGATAGGGTGTTTTTTTTACAGGCTTCAAACCCTTTTGGCATACATTTAATGTTTTTTGTGTGTGTGTTTCTCTTACTGTGAAATGCTACTTTTGTACTATTAAGTTGGATACAGAGCTGCACCCATTTCGTGATGGAAGGTGCAACGGGGATGAGTCTTCCATTACCCGGCGCACACTTCACACGCCAGAGCTAAATTTCAGCACACTGGCACTTGGCCATTCTCTTCACCCATAAGAAACATTGACCTGAGACACTTATACCCGATATCAAAATACTGAATTATATATGCATATATATATATTGTACTATACACACATTATAAATGTATATATATTAAACAATACATACACACATATAAAATGTATATAATATACATGTATATTTAAGTAAAGCATATCTTATAATAAATCAATTACTCCATCACCAGTGTAGTATAAACCTTTGGTTGGTATTTATTTGACTTTAGTGCATGTCAACACTCCCAAAATGTGACTGGTCATTGCATGCAAACTGGACAGTTGGACCTCTAAGAGGGGAGGGATCAAACTACCTGGCCTCTAACACACCTCCGTATCAACCTTGCTAGTGCTCTACTTTTCAAACTTGTTATTAGAATGTGTTAGACCCGAATCCTGCTACCCGTTATTAGGCATTATTATTATTATTATTACATTATTGAGTGAGTTTTATGGTTATTATCCACTATTACTTTTACTCCACTTGCACTTGTGAGATTAGTTGAACCTTTAATGGCCCACATACAAGGGGTCTTAAACGCTTCACATATTTTATATACATACCGTTAGCCAAATCCCAAAAGCCAGTAGATCTACACAGGCTAAAAAAAGAGATAAAATGTAAAAAGACAAGCAGTTACTCTCTACCATAGACATTTTATTACTAGATGTACAAACTACACTGTGCAATGCTCACAAAGTCTCAGCTGCCCGCGAGCTTGCAACCCACCTCCGAATAAAAATAACACTTATTCTTTAAAGAAACAAAAATAACTTCTGGTAAGTGGAATTTCCTCTTGACATTCCACTAGAAAGGGACAAAAAGCTAAGGTAAAGCAGTTGACCCTCGTTAATTACATTAACCCTCGGGGGACAAATTTGTCCATTTAACTTTAGTTAGGGGTCATTCCAATAGTGTGAAGGCCCAGGGCAGGCATGAATGTCAGTGAGGGTATGATTAAGGAGGGTGATGCATCTACCATGGGGCTGGGCTGCGGGCTGCGGCGGCCGGCTGACTAAGGTCCTGTACAGAGGCGTCGGGCGAGCACTATGATGCTAGGTCGGCTACAATACCAAACCTACAGCTCAGACACGACTACAGTACAGCTGTACCTACAGTACCACTTCTAGTTCTCTCAACACCATTGCCCCGCCCACCACTACCCTGACACATGATATTGGCCAGAGCATATTCTAGGGCTGCTTCCATTAAGCTACAATAACAACAGTAGCATTGGGGTGGGCGTGACGGATGGTGGGTATCAAGTTTGTGACCGCAGCTAAGGGGAACATCAGGAGCGCCTACCCACCACCTCCCACAACACACTCCAGACTCAAACTAGCATTGAAATTGATATTTAGGTAGTTTACAGTGTCAAAGACCAAATACCATTGATAAAAGCTAATAGCATTACAGGCAGTCAATAGGTAAAGAGAGCAAACTAAAGAGTGGCACGTTAGATGGCGGGCAGGTGGTGGTGGGTGGGGCACAGCAGCCTCGGGAGGCAAGAGTAGAGGTCAACCCTACACAAGGCTGACTCTACACAGGTCAACCCTACAGCTAGTGTTTATATTTTGTGTGTGTGCGAGTGTGTGTATGTCAGTGTTGGCTGTGTTTATCTTTCGGCATTAACACAAGACAGTCCCGTGTTTCTTATGTTCATATGTGTTTCTCAAGCAGATCTTTCATGTTGAAAGCAAGTTTCATTTATCGTTAGAATGCACTCATCTTGCTTAAAGCACATCTGTACAGTGGTGCTCTAATCAATCAATATGCCAATGCAACGATAAGTCCTCAGTTTGCTTTAACTGTGTGAAAGCTCTACTTTAAGGTTTACAAAGAAATCCAAAAAATGGTAGACAATCTAGCACATTCAATACATTACCACAGCGAGAAAAAGATATTGCTCCCTGGTTCATGGACTCAGGGAGGCTACGACATGCAAGGCCGGCCTGGCTGCGCTGGGAGCAAAGATGACGGTCATAGTTACGTCACAGGAGGCGGGCCGCGTGCCTGGGTCCCTTGGCTGCTGCGCAAGACATTACTCCCGATACATGCACACCTAATACAAGTAGGCAAGCATCTGGGAAGTGACATCTGCGCAAGAGTCCTCTCTACCACACTACAGCCTTGGTCGGTATACAATGTAGATACCACTAGTCTACAACACAGTAAAGTACATACAAGAAAATAGGTTACCCTATGCTGGGGTAACTTGGGCACGCTATGTAATAATCCAAAAGAGCAAACCACAGGAGAAGGGTCCAATGCCAAAACACAAAAGCAGAGAAAGATAGTCTAAAACCAAAGTCACATTAGAAGCAAAACAAATTACCTTATAGATTTTATATATGGGTTATGTCAGACCCCTTCCTTCATGTGTATGTATTTTTTTTCTTTAATATGTACTAAGTCCAGTGTGTACCACTTATATGCATGTGGATAAGATGTTCAAATATAATAATAGACACACACTGCACATTGGTTTTGAAAATATTTCACTTTTATTACTGACTTTATATATCATTAATGCTCACAGTCTTATGTACAAAAATAGAGGGTTTCGACACTTATTGCTTCACGGCATGTGGTAATCCTGTATACATCTAGGTAAACACAGTCATTAACATATTTGCATGGCTCAAGGGCTTTGCAGAATTGTAGTGGTGTGGTGGTGTCGAATCTCAAAAGTATTAAAATTTAAAAATTTGTACGACATTTACCATTAGCAGCAACCGAGATGCCTGGAAGAATCACTGACGATCGTCTCTTTAAAACTTCTTTAGAAACCCGCCATCGATGAATAAGGCATCAAGGGTATACTAGTGGCCAATGTTATGTAGTAAACAGCCTCTTTTTTTTTTCTTTTTACCTTTATGAAGACAAGAACAGACATGGCTGATGGTAAATGACTCTGTATTACCACTTTGGCACTTGACCTTAACATTAATAGTTGGAGCTTGGAAAACTGAACTGCCGGACAATTCCTACAATGAGAAGTTAACAGCAACCCAGTGTGCTCCAGTGGGGCTAGAAACAATGTGTCTGTGCCTCCAATGCATATATGCTGTCTTCAGGAGGAGTAACACTAGTAGGATGAACCCCACACTTAGGAAGACTCAGGAGGGAGATCAGCTGAGTAAATGAACACTGGCTATGCTAACAACAATTAACCGACATTAAATTTATCTAAATATATAGCCAAAGTGCATCTATTTGGTCCATGTAAGCTAGTATAACCCCCCACCCTAGTATTCCCCCAAAATAATGATCCCCACCCCAATACCAGACTATGGCACAAATCAGCCTAACAAAAAAAATAAACTGGCAACTGCACCTTCCACATCAGCACAACTAAACTACATCAATTATAATATTATGGAGGCTCACCTACGACACTAAACAGCTGCCACTTCTATTATAGCTGCCTCGCCCTAAGCTACCGAAAATGAGCCTTTATTACAGCTTTGCCTTCCAGCTAATAAACAGCACAGCAAGTACTCATAAAAACATCCCACTAATATTCCCTTAATTCTAATGTGATCATAATGCCTTTAATTCATGTCAAAATAAACTCGACTGCTATCAATTGTTGCTTACTATAAATAGCCCAGCAGTAATTTTACAACACATTGAAGAACATTCAACACTTCCTTACAATACACAGAGCAAATAATGTTTTCTAATGATAAAGCTCTCTAATAAGACAACACAGAAAAATAAACCTATATGTAAGCTGTGGTTCACCCTACACCATTGGGTAGAGAGTTTGGTTTTTATGATCATCGTGCTGTGGCAGTCCTACACCGCCACTACCACCACCACCACACCACCACCACCACCACCACACCACCATCACCACTGGCACACCCATACTGCTGCTAGGGTCAACAGGCCCACTGGCTGGTTTGTAGGTCACTCTTAGAACTGTCAACTCGGGTTAAAACACTGCATTATGCCTTGGTGGACACACTTCCTGAAAATGGGTTATAAATGCTTTATATCCCTTATCAACTAAGATGCATTTCTGATGCACGAGTTTATTTGTACCATGTCTCCACCTATCATCCTCTGAGGTTTGTCTGGATCTAGAGCTCCAGCAACTCATCTCTGCCTAGCTCTTGGTGGACAGCTCCACATTGAGCAGGGGGTGATTGAGCAAAAGGGTTTGGTTTATAAAATGCAAAAATATTAATTTCCCTCTGATGTCTTTATTCCCTCATGAAAAAATAACAACACTTATTGCTGCATCCGATTTATTTGGTCCGCAATTGGGCTACCCAAACTTGGCCCTGTGTAGCACTACTAGCACCTCTGGGGGCAAATTAATGGTAACCACTGCACTATCTACCCTCTTGTCACCGCTATCTCACAATGCATAACAGAGCGTAAGCTGTGTCACATGTAACAAATGCCTCAATACTACATTGCTTATCTTAAAAGCATGTTGCCTTGAGGAAAACTACTCTACATGTAGCTATCATGTTTACCCAAAAATCAACAAAAGTTTATATAGCTTGAGACTGTCAGAATCCTCACAATGATGATTCAAGGCCCCAGAATATTACTTTTCTAATTTGTGGGAGAATACCTGGTAATACCAATGATTAAAACACTTGGCAGAATTTATGCCAGACTCCTTTGCTCATCAATAACGAAGAGGAAAAAAAAGGGGGGACGTTAAAATTCTGGCAAATGTTTAGAATCAAAAGGTCATCATGACTGTTACGCCACTGGCAAAAATTCTACGGTACATTCAAAGAGATCTCTAAGACAAAACTATTATTTAATGCAAAGTTCTACTAAAAAAGAAAGGTATTAAACAAAATCTAAGCATCACATCTGGTATGACTAGACTTGAACTGTTGTCTTTTTAACACCCCATTAAGTACACAAACAGATATAAGACAAAGCTACAAATAAAATAATGGAGTGACTTTTAAACTATTGGATAGACAGTGCTTGGCTAGCAATGTTAAAGTTAGATCCACAGTATAAATAAATAAGACTCAAGAGTGGCACATATAATAGAAGAATGAAATATTATTTATTGAAACTACTAGTGGTTTAGGCTAAAGACGAGTTGCTAAGCTAGGTAACAAACCCCAGAGGAGAGTAGGTAAATAATTCAGCTCACAGAACTACTGTATGAGAAAACTTCTCTACCAACTGGTAATGCTGCATTACCCACAAAATTACCCACTCCAGCAAATAAATTTTTCACCTCATTCATGCATATGAAAAAGGACTCATACGCATCTATGAGCTGAATAATTCTTAATAATGGGATAAAAAAAAAGGAGACCCAAAATCTACGGTTGACCGACATACCAGTGGTGGGCGTTGATCCCAGAGCTTTGGGCCAACATCATAAACAGTACAAAATGATGAAAATACAGTGTAGATGGTACACAGGAGGTAACGTATGGGAGTGGTTCTGAGGCCCCTGGTTAGACACAGATAAAGGAGACTGACAGACATAAGAAAACCCTATTGTCTGCCAACTGCCAATTGACTTATCTGTACCTCAGGGCAGAGATTGAAGGAGGACCCAGTCTGGGCTTTCAGTACTGACAAATATTGAAATAACTGGCTACTTGCAACAATGGGATATTATGTACTTAGGTAGTCTTAAGCCATCAAGGGCATTAAAAAAAATTTCCCCGTGAATGCTACTAGTGAAAAATATTTATTCTAATATTCATCTGTGGAGAAATTAAAAACAAATTTATTGATTTCATATATTAATCATAATATAGAAATAAAAATGAACTACTATTGAAACTACGGAAATTCCCAAAATACTGAATTATACTAAGCCCTGGACTGCCTGCGTAGGCAGGAGTGGGTCGCCCTCCCGTCCCATCATTTACACACACGGGGGTTACAGAGGCAGGTGGAGAGGACAATCTAGGCATTCCGAGCTCCTCTGCTCAACAACAGCCACAATCTCAAAAGATAAAAAATAAAAAAATAAAATAAAAAAAAAGGAAAAATATCCCAGACATATAGGCTACCAAGTTTCCATAGTCTAACAATGGCCTTATATCAAACCACGGGAATCCTTGTAGGTAATCCACCACACATAAAGCTATTTACATTACATTCTAAGCTATTGGCTCACTCTAGGCCTATGCAGAAACATGAAAACAGAGATCAATGTTGTACAATAGAAGTAAATTTATAAAAGGCCTACATGGTTTTTGCTGGTCATTCCAATGTGGTGCAAATAAAAATAAGTATCAAAATGTTATGCTGCCTACGTTGGTACCAGACTTCCTAGACAGGCCTAGAAGGATATTAATGGATACGTAGCATGCCAGAGATGGTTGTTACCGTGGTTACCACTTGCTGGAAACAGTCGGTGTTGCGGTGAGAGCTCGTCCAAAATACTTACATCGCCGAGGCAACCTCAAGACCAGGCCTCCAAGGTCCCCATGTGCACCACACGACGCTCTCATGGCTGCAGCGGTGGGCGTTGCCATGTGCACCATTTGGTGTACAAGTACAGTTCATGGCTGCAAAAAGTGGGTGCATGATGGCACACATGGCAGGCAGGCTGTGGTATAGGTGGGTGGGGGTGGGGAGGGACTGATGGGGGTGACTGGAAGGAAAGTCAGGTCAAGGAATAAGGTACATGGTACATGGGTTGTAACACAGCAAGTACCACTGAGGTGTTATGTGTTTCACAGAGAAGACTTGAGAAGCAAACGCAACGCACACTGAGTATTGCTCCGCACTTATTACTACACACTTGCTATAGTAAGCTAGTCCCAGCCGCTCAAGCAGACTTGCAGCGGCTAAAAGTCACTGACCAGTGTGGAATGTAGTCAGCAGGGGACCAACTCCACTGACTCTTTTTAACAAGGGCTGGCAGGGGCTCTGCATCCCGGCCCCATGAACTCTTGTGACCTTAACAGTAACTCAAATCTAAAATCTTGATCCCCAGTGTCATGCAAAAATCAAATAAAAGTATTCTGCTGTAAAAATGAAAACGAACTGTTGCCCATTCTTTTATGCAAGAGGGGCAGACCAAAGTGGCTCCCCATTCAGAGGAGCCAAGACAAAGTTTTACATGGCAAGTCTAGGGTTATCACCCTATCCTTGTATGCCAAGACCTTTTTACAGCCATAAGTCTTATCCGTAAACAAATATTTACATCTTGCTTTGTTCACATTGAGCAGGTCCAAGTATTTGAACTTGGCCTGGGCAAGTTATGCTTAGCAATGACACTTAAACCCTATAAACGCACACGTACATTAACAAAAATAAATAAACAAAAACCTTCATGTTTGAGAAAAATGTTTAAGTACATGGACTAAATGGTTGGCAGCAGTAGCACTGCCTAGAGAGACATAATACTAAGTACTGTAGAGATCTATCTGGGTCACAATGAGCCCAGCCCAGTACCAAGGTTCCGGTATGGCACTCTTTCATTGTCGCAACAAGCTGGGAAGGCCACCATAATGAGATGGCACAAATCAAATCTTAACAGGAATGGGGTTGATGAAGGGAAGACAGAAATAAATGAAGAAAACTAGGATAGAAAAATATGAGGACTAAATGACAAAGGGTGCACAGAGAACAACTTAAAATTATGCACAATTCCCTGAGGCTGAGAATATCTGGTGCAGAGGAGAGCTCACAGCGGCATAATGGGCGGGCTGGACTCAAAGTGTAAGTTAGGCGAGGGAAGGGGACTCAAGTAAATCATGGGGAAAAAAATAAAAGGGCCGACAACTGAACTAAGGACGGTGGGTGGAAAGGGTTACTATGAGTCATGGTCAAGCAGTCAGGTGGACGTGAGAGGGCACTTGTGTACACAACTAAGCATACATGCCCACACCATACATGGCACTCCAATCTACCCCTTGGAAGGAGCTCATGTCTACATTAGTGAGCGAGTAGCCCTGGTATGGGGTAGTGAGACCTGCATGTGTAGAGAGAGTAGGCAGGGTTTGTGTGGCAGGGGAAGAGAAAGCTGCTGAATGGTTGGCCATGGTGGGGGCAGCAGAAACTGCAGTCAGGGTAGGGCCTCCAGGCAGACCTGCACCTGGGGGACCACCTGAGGTCAAAGCAGCGGATGGCAAAGGATAAGGAGTGTAGCGGTAGGCTGACAAGGGAGGATATGTACCCCCACCCACTAGCTTTCCATAGCCACTTAGTGCAGCTGCTTGGGCAGCAGCAGCAGCAGCTGCAGCAGCCTGGATGTGAGCTGACTGGGCAGTTACAATTGGGTTTGCAAGACCAGTCTGACCCACTATCAGCCTCTTTGAAAGGAGAGAGGCTGCCTGCACTGCCTCTTTTGGCTGGGCTTTCTTGCATTCAACCTTCTTGTTCTTGATGGTGTGGAAGTGAATATCACACACACGCTCGACTACATCTTCACACTCAAATGTGACAAACCCAAACCCACGATGTCGCTTGGTCTGGTTATCCATAAGCATCACTGCTTCCTCAACCTGTAAATAAATACAATATATTAGAAGGATAAATATTTGTGTTAACAAAAATTATACACAAGAACTGTAGTAATAAATATTAATTTTGTTTATTTTGTTACTTTAAAGACTTAGGAAAATGTTTGTTTTAAAAAAAGCTTTCAGAATCTAGGTGAACAGAATTTTTAATTTATTAAAAATAGAGTACCATGATTTAAGAGTCATTTATTTGATAATATATAGTAACCATATGTTAAAATTTATCTACCAAATTTGTTGTGAAAATATTCAGTTTTTCTAAGATGGTAAAATTGCATTCCTTAATTTAATACTCTAGCAAACACACACAACAATGAACACAAATTTTAATGCATACACTAGTACATATAAATTCAGGGGTGCCTGACAGCTGAGTGGACAGCGCTTTGGATTCGTAGTCCTGAGGTTCTAGGTTTAATCCCCGGTGGAGGCGGAGACAAATGGGCAAAATGTTTCTTTCACCCTGATGCCCCTGTTACCTAGCAGTAAATAGGTACCTGGGAGTTAGACAGCTGCTACGGGCTGCTTCCTAGGGGGTGTGTAACAAAGGAGGCCTGGTCGAGGACCAGACCGCGGGGACGCTAAGCCCCAAAATCATCTCAAGATGACCTCAAAAAGAAGATAGGGGTAAAGACCAAAAGAAGGATACAGCTTATGATGCTGTATTGTAAGCAAAATACATCTTAAACTTGTATAATCATTATCCTGTTCTGTATTTAAAGTTTTAACAGCAGGTACATAGGTTACAGACCTTGCTAATCACGGGAACGAGTCATCCAACATGCATACATAATTATTATACCATCTCCCATTTGCATGGTGAAGCATGGCATTAACTAGATTAAGTAATAAGCGAGACAAAAAGCATAGCTACGCAATGATACTCGCTTGTCCATATTGTATCGTGAATTGATAAGAAAAAATTGTCAATCTCCAGCAGCCATCCCCATAGCAGCAACCCAATAGTATGTACAGCACAAACACATTTACTCCCTTACAAACTTCAAAGGAGCCTTGTTGTTTTCCATATCCAATATGTTGTTTACCCTCACTCCACTTCCTTACACACTCATCAAATTCATACATTTCAGTATCCTCCATTCATTCAAAATGTCCATCAAAAATAAAAACTGCCTGCTAGTTTCTGCCAGCAAAATGCTAAAATGCTAAATGCTAAATGCAAATGCAAATGTCTGTTTGAAGGATTCAAAATGACTGCTAGAAAAAATAATTACAAATATCCACCTGAACATTAAATGCCAATTCCCATCAATACCCAACACTCATCTCGACCATTCAAATATAAATACCATTATACATACCTTGCCAAAGGACGAAAAGTAAGCTTTAACTTCCTCTGCACTTGTTTCTTGACTGACACCACCTACAAAGATTTTCTTTGTGCGGTTGGTGCGCCCCTTGTTCTTAGGTGTGGCATGTTTGGGATCAATCTTTTTACCATCAAGTACATGGTTGGGAACAGCAATGACCTTCTCAACACTGCTAGCATCTCCAAATGTGATAAAACCAAAACCACGACTCCTCTGAAATGTATGATAATTGGGAAAATAAGACTGGGGTCTGTTAAGATCATAAAATTATTGAAAACAGTATGTGGCATTCACGGAACTGACAATTTTCTTCACATTAAAATGAACAAAAAAGATTCATTATGCTAGGAAAAAGATAGGTGTGCATTCCAAATGTACATATGAAAGGGGGAAGCAGACTCAATACAACAAGATCAAGATCTTTTGTCCGAGCCTAAATAATATTCATGTTACACAAAGGCTATGAAAAAGGATTCGAATTACTAAAACATTTTTTGCTACTTCTCCAGATTACACCAAAACTAAATGCAATAATTGCTTGTTATTCCCATCAATGCTACCGGTATCAAACGTGATCATATACCACATATGGATCAAGGCTTACATGTCATAATGCCCGAATGTGAGCCAACTGTAGCATATCCATAACCAGCAGTACTTAACAAAAAGAAAACATCTCAGCAACAGTAAAGGCTACACTCTGGCTAGAAATTATCTATTCAGTATGTACTACACATTTGTGTTAGATGATCAGATCACTACACCCACCAACTGCTCCGATGCACTCTAGTTGCTGTATCAGCTACAACAACTAAATCAGTCTATTATGAATACAGTTAAGCAATTGAGGATTATAAATGTCTGACCACAAACAGGTAATCTTAACTTATATTGTTGCATTACACATTAAGTTTATCTATGAATATGCATATTTAAAATATATATACATATATACAGTACATATACATATTATACACATTATATATAATGTATACATGTACAGTATATACAGTACATATACATATTATACACATTATATATATATATATATATATATATATATATATATATATATATATATATATCTATATATATATATATAAAATTGTACTCATTTTATACATATATATGAACAGTACATTATATATATATACATGTACACATGTATACAAACATATATGTATATATTTAGTTTGTACCTTCTACACATATCAACCCTCTTTAAATACACAAGACTGCCCAACGTAAAAACACCACTTCCATTACAGCAATGTGACATGTGCGACAAAGGAAAAAATCAAATCAACATTGACCAAAGGCAACAATGCCGAATTCAAACTAGGATCTCACCTCTCACCCATTTCTCAGCTTCTCCAATCTCAGACTTCCATCAAAGTTTTATCTGAGAGTTAATAAGAAGTTATAAGTATTAACTTCGTCCATCAACCATTCTCTATATAAAAAATATGAAGGTCTCTACATTTTATAAAGCAGCGTGCACAGATGCAAGCAGCTCCAGCTATTTTTTTTTTTTTAAAGGTAGAAAGTGACAACTGTAGCTGGTCCATAAATTGGCTTCTGCCCTTAACAGCCGCAATTCCTCAAGCGTAATGAGATTTGTCCCAGGCTTTCCATGGCCCTAGCATTCACTAGGCTTCACAGAACTCCCTCGCCAAGGGTAACACACATGGCTTCTTGCCTGCTCTTATTCATCATTGCCACACATCCCACAAATTTCCTGCGTTAAATCTGACAAGTGTCAAATGTATTAAAAAGAGTAATTAAAGAGATCAGCATCTCGTCAAATACTGTATGAATGATGGCCAACACAAACTTGGAATACAGTAATTCAAAAAAGCCATTGCTGTATTCACTTTATCCACAAAAATGGCTTTGCTAGCAAAATTCCCTTTTTTTTTTTTTACATAACTATCAAAAGTTCCAGGTCCAAGTTCATACTAATATTTTTTCTTGTATGGATCTATCGCAGGACTTCTGCAGTAAAATAATTCATCATCTCAGTTATTAAACAATTCAGTATTTCATAAATCAACAATACTACAAAACAGTAATTACTACTGTATACTGAAGACTTTTATAAGACATTTCCTAGTTTGTTTATACCCCCAACAAACTAGGACAACTTATACCAACAAACTATAAGTCCTGTGATATAACAAAATTGATTTATTAGGATCTTCTGTACAATATCAGTCACTTTATTCATTGTAGAAATTTAGTTTTTCCATTAAAAAGCACTCTGAAACACCGGCAAAAAACAGTGCAGGTGCAATAAGTTTGTAAACTGTATGAAGTCTTTGTGCATATTTGTCTATACTGTATATAAATAGTTTCACAAACATCATTTTCCACTTTTCTGCAACCTACACAAACTTTAGTTACCTGTACTTGTAAAACCTAAAGTGAAAATTCTCCAGAACTAGCAACTGGAAATAAAATTGAAAAATCCTCCATTATCCTAAATTATATATACAATACTGTATCTGCATTATACAGTATGTGCAATTATATAAACGTGGCATGCTACCATTATCAAATGGCTCGCAGGATAATGAATGTTTATCTTCTCTTGATTATTATCACACGACAACTCATCCATTTAAAGGTGGTTGGTAATACTGTAATCACATTCCGAGTGAACTGTGTCTTATACACGTTAGAGTACTGTACTATATAACTTTAGTTCTTTACTGTGCTATTATACCTTTGTACAAATTAACATTGTGTTAACAAATAAAAAATTAGGATCTAGTTTTAGGAGACCAAAACGTGATATTATAGAGCCTTACCTGCGTTACAGGATCTTTCATGATGAGAACGTCCCTCACTGTGCCGTAAGAACCAAAATATTCCCGCAATTTCTCGGGGGTTGTTTGCCAGGAAAGGCCACCCACGAACATCTTGTTTGGTGCAGGATCTATGTATGACAAAGACAATAAAACATAGAAAATTGACAAAAAGAATTATTACATCAATACAATACACTTCCCAGAAGTCAGTCCAATGCCAACTAAATATTTTATTAATGAAAAACTAATCTTGCATTTATCAACAATATATATATATATTTAAAGCAACAATTTAACTATATCTGCATACAAGTCAAAATAAATTAAAAGGAAAAAAGCTTTAGCTAGCATATGACTTTTCACACTAACACGGAAAGGGTGCAGATATAAGGAGTTTCTTTCCCTTTATTTCAAAGAGCAACACAACAAACCTGAAGGTGAGGACCGCCCTGATGACCCACCCTGTGATGCTCCTGAGGATCCGTTCATGTGCTCACTAGCCGAAACACCATCCATCTTAATTAGGTCACCCTTGACCAAACCAACACTTCCGGCTGAAAGAGAAAAACAACTTTGTTAAAACTCTACAAGTGTCGAGATAGTACAGTAAATACAAGAAAAAAAATTATTATACCCAATAAAATTTAAACCGATAATTAAATCAAACTTTCTTTAAATTTCAGATCGTGCCTCTCGTGAGCATTATGGGGATTGCCATCGTAGGCGTGTCTACTTGGTGCGGTTATGCTCTCATGACCAAGACCGATGTCAAGTAAGTAATACTGTACTCAGGCTTGTAGAACTTGGCTGGCATCTTGTTACTAAACAAGCATTAAACAAGTAGATGAGCACACATTCAACACAGATGTCATGATCACCATAACCAATGACTTTATTTATCACAATCTCATGTACTGTACTGCATATCTAATTGTACAACCCATGCTCCCAAAATGATAGCACATAGTAACTACTTGGTCAAAGGTACCAATATGTAGCAATAGACCAATAAAAATTTTACCTTTTGCATTTTTAATTTTAAAGTCCAGAAAAAAATAGAGCTAAAAACCAAACTTAAAACATTCCTAGGCCTAGTATAATAATATGCACATATGTGTACAGAATATTTTAGGTTTAGGATAACTAGGTTCGGTTCTATATGTTGCCACTATATATTTAAAAAAATAAAAAATAAAAACAATAAAAAGTTTACAGTTTAGCCAAATTCAGTAATACAAAAAAACTTTTTGGTCGCTTATCACTACATATTGGTACTTTCGACTAAAAAGTTACTAGAAGTGTTAAGGGGATGGACTGAATACGTAGGCATTGAGCAGGAATTTGATATACAATGTCTTTTCAACATCACACCATAAATTGTCCATAAATAGTTCTACTGCAGACGTGAACATGAAAATCATCTTGCGTACTGGTATGCAGGTCATACAACTTTACCAGTAACTGTAGGTCAACCAGAATTAATTCAACCAAGTAATTGTTAAGTCCACTGTTAATTCAAGTGGCAGCCTGCCTAGCCCATCTAAAGTGAAATGACTCCTACACCATGCTAATTTGAAAGAACTGGTCTGCAGTGTGATGCAATCTTATGATACATTAATTGGTACAAATCATGAGTATTGTACCTTGATTGAATATTTAATACTGGGAAAGAACTGTAACCCAACCACACACATCGCCGGTTGAAAATGGCAGCTCACGGCAGAATACAACTTTTTACCATACCGAATTGGCTGCACAAACGTCCCAGACACTCTCAGCTTCCCCGCACAAACGTCGACACTCTCAGCTCCCCGCACAAACGTCCAGACACTCACAGCTCCCTGCACAAACGTTCTGACACTCACAGCTCCCTGCACAAACGTTCCGACACTCACAGCTCCCTGCACAAACGTCCTGACACTCACAGCTCCCTGCACAAACGTCCCGACACTCACAGCTCCCTGCACAAACGTCCCGACACTCACAGCTCCCTGCACAAACGTCCCGACACTCACAGCTCCCTGCACAAACGTCCCGACACTCACAGCTCCCTGCACAAACGTCCCGACACTCACAGCTCCCTGCACAAACGTCCTGACACTCACAGCTCCCTGCACAAATGTCCTGACACTCACAGCTCCCTGCACAAATGTCCTGACACTCACAGCTCCCTGCACAAACGTCCTGACACTCACAGCTCCCTGCACAAATGTCCTGACACTCACAGCTCCCTGCACAAACGTCCTGACACTCACAGCTCCCTGCACAAACGTCCAGACACTCACAGCTCCCTGCACAAATGTCCTGACACTCACAGCTCCCCGCACAAACGGACCAGACACTCACAGCTCCCCGCACAAACGGACCAGACACTCACAGCTCCCCGCACAAACGGACCAGACACTCACAGCTCCCCGCACAAACGGACCAGACACCAGCTCCCCGCACAAACGGACCAGACACTCACAGCTCCCCGCACAAACGCCCAGACACTCACAGCTCCCCGCACAAACGCCCAGACACTCACAGCTCCCCGCACAAACGTCCAGACACTCACAGCTCCCCGCACAAACGTCCAGACACTCACAGCTCCCCGCACAAACGTCCAGACACTCACAGCTCCCCGCACAAACGTCCAGACACTCACAGCTCCCCGCACAAACGTCCAGACACTCACAGCTCCCCGCACAAACGCCCAGACACTCACAGCTCCCCGCACAAACGTCCAGACACTCACAGCTCCCCGCACAAACGTCCCAGACACTCACAGCTCCCCGCACAAACGTCCCAGACACTCACAGCTCCCCGCACAAACGTCCAGACACTCACAGCTCCCCGCACAAACGTCCAGACACTCACAGCTCCCTGCACAAACGTCCCAGACACTCACAGCTCCCCGACTCACAATAAAGGCGTGTGTGCGTGGCGAGGCGTGGCGAGGCCAGTGGCTAGGAGGAAGGCAGGGCACTAAATGATGGCGCCCGACTCTTACCCCAGAGGTTTTAAACATGGCGCGAAGCCATTCAACCACGGCCATGCGAGGGGTGGCAACTTGTAGGGCTGCTGCTGCTCTTACCTTCCTGCCTGCCTGTCTGCCTCCTCTTCGGCTCATCTCCCCCCTCCCCAAATGGGTTCACCCCCCTCCTACCTACCTACCTTCATGGGGTTTAGCCATGCTTCTCTCCTCCTCCCTATGTGCTCAATCTCGCCTCCCCCATGTGCTCAGTCGTGCTCAAACGTGTGAGACGTTGCCACACACCCTGCCATACCTTCAAGACGAACGCCCCAAAGGCCCCCCCACACACGCTGGGGGGCACCACCACACGAAACCATTTTACCACATTAAAACTTTTTTAGCCAACATTGGGCGTAAGAGTAACTAACGCTCCGGTACGTACACGGGACAAAGGGCGGTGGGAGTCGCCGAGGGCTCCTGTAGACGTTGGCTCCGGTATATAACTTGAGGGCGGCTACTCCAGGGTAAAACTTGGGAGGCTCCATGTCGGCTGGGGTCGCCCGTTCAACTCCCTGGTGGTCACTACGTTCATTACCGCCTCCACCTCTACCCTCGATCTTCTCTTTTTTCCTCTCTCTCTCTTTCTCTCTCTCTCTCAGCCAAAACCTCACTCTCTCCTCATCTTTCTTTTCCGTTAAACAATGAATAATTTTTGGGTTGTGAGTGGGCGAGATAATCGATATTTATATATTGATTTTCTTGAGATAAGTGTGTTCTGACTCGAACGCGTCACCATATATCTCTCCAATATGGTTTCAATTCGGAGATTATTGGTTATATCTAGAGAGGTAAATTTCACAACAATCATTAGGCAGAAATCATATTCGTTTTTTTCTTAATTTGAAAACAAGACTATAAAGATAATAACAGAAGTTTTAACATACGAGTAGTTGGGAGTCGACCAATATTTCCGTGTAAGTCATTTTCGTTTACAAAGCGAGGGTTGCATTATCCACGTGACACACATATCCACATTTACTTTTTCGAAGTTATAAGTAACCGTATATAATTTTTCTAAGGGTTTTGCGCAGTAATCGGTAAGCAAACAGCACGGGCGACCAATTATGGCAGCGCCTATACGAATACTGATGACTGGCTCGCCCCGCCATACAATGAGACTCATATCAAGCTTATCTCTTTAGACCCCCAAAGCTGATTACGATAGCTAATGATAACAAGACTAGTTAGAGGACCCTCAAAGTAATCTTGTTTCCACCTGCTAGTGTCTCAAGGGAGATGTGACATTTTTCTAGGTGTAAAATTTTAGCCTAGCGCATTAATAATTACATTAATACGTGAGGATGTCAGACATCCTCACGTATTATAGATGTTGCAATCCATAGTTTTTCATATTTTGCAAGATATTTCAATGTTTCGTTTACCACATGCTGTCTTAAACAATATCCTGCAGAATCTTTTCTCTTAATAACTAAAATAAAAATGTCTTAATAATGTAGCTACCATGACTTGTTAATAATTAGTAAATGCACAAAACCATTCACCACCAAACCAGAGAAGACTAAACAAATGAACAAATTTGTTTAGAACAGAGAAGACTAATTCTGATCAAGCTCGGTTGTTGTTTTAGATTCAGCTACTCGGAACAAAAAGTTGCTAGTAGCACGGGCTACTTAACGTAGTGGATTTATTAGCACAGGAGCAGGGGCCAGATTCACGAAAGCACTTACGCAAGCACTTACGAACGTGTACATCTTTCCTCGATCTTTGACAGCTTTGGTTACATTTATTAAACAGTTTACAAGCATGAAAACTTCCCAATCAACTGTTGTTATTGTTATAAACAGCCTCCTGGTGCTACGGAGTTCATTAACTGTTTAATAATTGGAAACAAAGCCGCCAAAGATTGAGAAAAGATGTACACGTTCGTAAGTGCTTGCGTAAGTGCTTTCGTGAATCTGGCCCCAGGGCTGTAACTGATCAAGCTAGGTTGTTGTTGTTGTTGTTTAAGATTCGCTACTCAGAACAATAAGTTCCAGTAGCACGGGCTATGGTGAGCCCGTACAAGCTAGGTGATTGATGAAGATTAACTAATCCACCCTAGAGGTGGCACGGGCATGAATAGCCTGTAATCAAGTTCGGTTGTTGTTGATTCGCTACTTGGAACAAAAAGTTCCAAGTAGCACGGGCTATGGTGAGCCCGTAGTGGACTTACCTGACACAGGAGCGGGGCTGTAACTTGACACCCAAGCTCGGTTTAAATGAAGCCTGTATATAGTACAAGGAAATTTCCACTTTATCGTGGCCCATCAGAAGGGTCAAGGCGAGGTGGAAAACTAGATAGTATAGGACGTTATCCAGCGCTATGTTGCACAGGTGGGAACAAGATTTGACCGTAGTTAGGTTGTAGGGTCAAGTCGACTTGACCCTACAACTTGAGAATGGTCCAGGACGACTTGAGAATGGTCCAGGACGGACCGAAACGTCGTCGTCCCTTCACCTCCTAGTGTGTGGTCTGGTCAACATTGTAGGGTCAAGCATTTCCCGATGTGAAGGCTGATTACAAAATTATCGTTTCACATTTTTATTTGTGATTGATAATAATGTTTATCAAAACAGTGAAATATATAAAGTTTGTTACAGAATGTTTAGCTGCATCTTATCCTTCAAACGCCTAGTTACTAAATTCCCAAGTACAACACAAGATTACGAGTGCAAAAAAATTAGTAGATTCGCCGATAATCATCTTATGTTCATTAATTCCTCGTAACTGCAATTAAAAAGTAATTACTTTCCTTCCGCACCTAAACAAGTGCAGGTACACCACCAATTAATCCACCTAGTCCATCCCCCCCCACCCACTTTCGACGCACCAGAAAATCCCCCACGCCCAGAGGGCTCCCAGGTTGACGATTGATTGCTTTCTTGTCAAGGATCAATTGTCGTGGCCGCGTGAAAGAGGATATTGATGATGGAGTAATCTCAGGAGCTTTGTGGCGGCCGCGGAGCCTTCATAACAAGAAGAGAAAGTAATCCCCCTGACGATATAACGTGCTGCACACGTATCACTTGCCAATCTTAGTTTACACTCCGCTTTGGGGGGGAATTACTACTCTAAGTTGGTGAGATGGAGTCGCATTTTGGAGACTAAATGATGTGTTGCTATGTACTTATAAGCCAAACTCAACATGAAATAACTCTACGGCTTTGACTTTTGGTGATAAGTCTTGGTCTACAGAAAGCCACATCCATTCACTAATTGGGTACATCCATGCACCGAATACCCATTCCGTTGGCGGTGGTGGAAAGGGTTCAGAGGCATATAATGGGTTCAGGAACAGAACCCCCATACAACCACATTTACCATTACAATTTCGACGGTGAATTTAACCACTTGTAAACGGCGATTTTCCCATCCTACTCGAGTAGGCAGAACACCGCAAAACAATGCGCAATGATCGTCGCTTGGGATCACATACAGAGTATAAAAGCCGTGTTGCAGTTAGGGGCTCAAGCGGAGATTAGTGGTGGCATTCCTCGTAGATACTACCCTTGTTTTGCTGTGTCGGGCGGCGCGTCACATCTTGCGGGCCCTAGTCTGAAGCTGTCAATAGTTTCCTTTTTTTTAAGGCACTTGTCTAAGGTGCATGTTTCAACTCTCCCAGTCACCAACACTGCCGTTTCAACGTTTCCAACACCCAATGTCTCCTAATTTCCTATAAAGGCATCTCTCCCTGTCTCCCCAACCGACGTCTCTCCCTGTCTCACCCACCGACGTCTCTCCCTGTCTCTCCCACCGACGTCTCTCCCTGTCTCCCCCACCGACGTCTCTCCCTGTCTCACCCACCGACGTCTCTCCCTGTCTCACCCACCGACGTCTCTCCCTGTCTCACCCACCGACGTCTCTCCCTGTCTCACCCACCGACGTCTCTCCCTGTCTCACCCACCGACGTCTCTCCCTGTCTCACCCACCGACTCTCCCTGTCTCACCCACCGACGTCTCTCCCTGTCTCACCCACCGACGTCTCTCCCTGTCTCACCCACCGACGTCTCTCCCTGTCTCACCCACCGACGTCTCTCCCTGTCTCACCCACCGACGTCTTTCCCTGTCTCACCCAACCGACATCTCCTGCCCCGCCCATCCAGTGAGCCAGAGGAGGTAGGTGCCTGGCTCGCTATTCCTGTCCACTGGGGATAAGCCCTCAAACGCCTTCGTAAATGTTAGGAAACGTAGAGATAATTACAGTAAACATCACACCCGTTCTCTCCCTAAACTATACATAATTTCCTTCTCTTGTGAAGCCATGAAACACAATGGACGATTGAAACTGAGGATGTAATCATTCAATTAAGGCGCTATGAATCGGTACCAGTGATTGACTTTCAAGAACCCACATTAAGAATATTTATGACTTCGGGGAAAAAAAAAGAAATTACGATTGGATTCGTGGAAAAAAGTTACTGATTTTTTTGAAGGTGACTTTTGAGTGGCTCAAGCCGTTGACTTAACGAAAGGATTTGGTTGTCAACACTCTAGGATGAATGCCGCGTTAATTGAGTGAAGAGCTAGACTGCATTCACCCCTGCGCGTGTTGGAACCTTCGCTACAGGGATTATTTCAGGGATTTAATATGCAAATGAGTTGATGCCGTGAGAAAGTTTTGAATTAAGAATTATTTGGGGATTCTAAACTTCCCAGCGCTATTACGTAGGATATTACGTAGGATATTACCTAGGATACACATATTATCATTGACGCACGAGGGAGGGAATTATCAGGGGAAAGCACCAAGCCATTACGACTAGTGATAGGTTAATTTTTTGTTTTTCAAAATTCGCTATAAATGTTGACTTGTACGAATGAAAAAAAAAAGATTTAATGTATAACGATGCATATATCGCATATACTCGATGAAAGGAAAAATATAATTGCCGATTATGTACACTTTCATAAAAATTGTCGCCATTTTTTTAAATGGCGAGAAATTTTACTTTAACGCGACAATTGCAGTTGGATAATATATATACTTAAAATGTTTCGTTCAGTAATGTTTACAATAAAGCATATATTAAAAGGTATATACTTGTATATTAACATTATACTCTGCTGAAGAAACGTGCAGTAGTTACTGGAATCCCATTTAACATGTACGTACAAACGTACGTACGTACAATGTACGTACGTACAAACATGTACGAGATGGTGACGACGGTGATCTTGGGTCCTGGAGTGTGTACAAACATGTACAAGATGGTGATCTTACATCAGCCTGTGTGTGTGCTCTCTGCTCCACATTCCAACTATTGTGACTAAGTTTCACAAATTTAATCCCTTTACAAGCGTGTAGGTGCAGCTCCTGAATAATATTTTTGACTATTGAATTCGATGTATATTATTTATCATAATAATAATTATTAGTATTATTACAAATCTGGATTTCAGATATCATGTATCTTATCACTCTAACTTGAATTGCAATAATTCTGATACAATTATTCAGAATATGAATAATAATTAAGACGCTTCTAATTTAATTTAATTGAGGCTACAATTAAGCCGTCCGTTTCTGTTCTACAGACTCAACCGCAATGACCTCTCCCGCTGGGACAAAATTGACGTCAACAAGCCTCAGAAGGTAAGTGTCTTGTCTCCCAAGATACTACAAGCCGCAGAAGGTAAGTTTCTTGTCTCCCAAGATACTACAAGCCCTCGAGTTCCTCAGAACCTGGGCGCCACGCCTAACCAAGTTTCATCTTCAGGGAAGCCTAAACTGGGTTTAATTATTCAGTCGCCACAATCTGAGTGTAAAGTTGGTTCCCGAGCGCCTTTCTCTACCACAAGGAGTTTAATGAGTCGCTTTGACGCAGTCTCGGTCTATGTGTTTTGTAACCAAATATGATGAGAATTTGGCTTCTGCTTTATGATAAACTGGTGGAGCAAAAACCATGAGTTGTCTAGTTGTCTCTCAACTCAACTCGTGTCGTCTAAGTTGATTCTTAGCATGGAAAAAACTAGCTACTCTTGCTCCTTTTGTTAGTCGCGATCTGGACGTTAAAAGAGTTGTGTAAAATGACAAGCCGTGTTGAATTTTACTTGAAATTAAAGGTTATTCCGGAGTAGAACTCCTAGAACTTTCTTCAGGTAAGGTCCAGGAACAGTTTGGGTGCCTTAGTCTGGCTTAAAACTGTTGCACTAACAGTCTCATTGGTCAGGTTGTCCTTCAAGAATGGGACTACAATGGGCTACAGAGTAACTGGGCTACAGAGTAACTGATAAATAATTGTCATGTGAAAATATTAGGTTTAAGAATTTTGTTGTAGTATTTTAACGTAAATGGGATTCAGCAAGCTATTTACAGTTATTATGAACACAAAATAAAGATGATGCGCATTATGTTTTCAGTTATAATGCGATTTTCAAGCAAGGAGCGTATTCCCTCACTAAGGATAAAATATATACTGTACGTGAATCTCTGCACGAAAAGGTACATAGCCTAGCCATGTAAACAGATTCTCCGTAATGTTTCATCTGCCATTCTGGTATCTTGCCTTCAAAATGGCCTAACGCCAACCCACCATTGTGACCAAATCCCTCTATTTATGACTCGTGGCAAATTTAGGTACATATATAGGGAGCCGGTCGGCTGAGCGGACAGCACGCTGGACTTGTGATCCTGTGGTCCTGGGTTCGATCCCAGGCGCCGGCGAGAAACAATGGGCAAAGTTTCTTTCACCCTATGCCCCTGTTACCTAGCAGTAAAATAGGTACTTGAGTGTTAGTCAGCTGTCACGGGCTGCTTCCTGGGGGTGGAGGCCTGGTCGAGGACCGGGCCACAGGGACACTAAAAAAAAAAGCCCCGAAATCATCTCAAGATAACCTCAAGATATACTTTCAATCACTTTAGGCCAGGCTATTACAGCTGCCGCCAACAGATAAGTTTGTCGCCTGGCTACCCACCTTGACAATTTAAGACTTATTCGGCTTGACCATGACAGTTAGGACAATTCCAGCGTGTCCCGAACTGAACCCACGACAAATAGAGATGATTCCCTAGTGCCATTCTTTACCAACCAGAGCGTAACGAGGCGCCACCGCCAGATGCGTCTCCAGCTGTGTACAGTATGTAGCTATTATGTACCCTGAACACACATTCTGTCTCTTCATTACTATAAAACGGTCATCTCTCAATTTTCTGTTACATCTCGACCCTCCACAGCCTTGGGCTGACAAATAGGCCTGGTTAAGCATACAGTAGGCATAAATATGTGTTATTATTACAAGTACAAAAGTCAAACACCTTCGGTACGGCCTCCCGGTCGGGACGGCTACATTCTAAAATAAGCTTCGAGCCCCCCTCTAGTGACGTCAGTAGCTGAAGCTCCTGGCCCACGACGTCACCCAAGCCACACAGGTGACGCTCCTCAATATTCACGAAGAATTTAATTAAACACAATGTTTTCTTTGAAATTAAGAATCCGATCATCGCAAAATGAAAAGGAAAACATGTTGGATTGATTGAAATTATGTGTCATTTTGGTGTGGATGAGATAAATGCCGCTTTTGTGGTGTTCAACGAGGATGAACATAAACTGTTGTCCTGCAAATTATTATGAACAATGAACAGTTACACAATGATTTGTACTGAAATATTAATAAACAATTATTATTATAATTGCAGTGCTATTATAGCCAAAGCCAAAATATAATTAATACAAATTTTATTTTGAGTATGATTAGTCACTATTATGGTTCAGTGATTATTAGATGCATCAGCTAAGTCTCTCTCTCTCCACTCCGGCTAGGGTGACGGTGTTAGTGGCCTGGTCAACTTGCCAAGTCATCAGCCACACACAAACTTGTCTTCCTGGCAAGTTAAGGAGCCTAACCTCGGTCTGGGCGTCCTCTCTCTCGCACACCGTGGTCGATACGAGTCGCGTTTTTCTCCTCTCATCTCAACTGTCAAGTTATAGGTAGCTGCCAGGTGTTGCGGTAGCTCAAATTATATGAGTACTACGTGAGCGCACATGAGACTCCCAAATTGTCTTCTACCACCCCCCTTACATATTTGTAACTTTTATATATATACTGTGTCGAGACATAACGCATGTCAGTAATATGGCTATGCAACGTGAATTTTACAGACGGTTTAATGCCAAGTCATACTTGCTCTTGAAGCTATGAATCCAGAGCGTTACTTTTGTTTACCAAATACCATATTTTGGTCATAATAATTACTGTCTCAGTTCTAGTTTTGTTTGCAGTTTCCACCTGTGTCATCTGGTTTTATGTTCCCTCTCGAATTCTCTACTCCCAAAGTTATTAATCTACACTTACTGGGATTGAACTACAGAATATATTTATCTGACCACTCCTACCCGCAAGCACGTACAGGCGAGAGCACGCCCACACAAAGGGCACAAAAACCCACCGCTGCGGTAACTAACAACCAGGTGGTTAAAACAAAAAAAACGGGCGCAGGGTTACCAACCACAGGAAGCACCACCGCCATGGTCCCGAAGGTTCAGGCAACCGTTGCATATTATTGTCTTGAACGCTCTCTAAACCTTGCCACATCGGCTTTAAAAGTCCTCAGATTTACATATTGTGTATCTTGCGCCCCCACGAGAATACATGAAGGATAATTAATGCGAAAATCAAGAGTTAGGTTTGGGCCACAATGTGAGCTAGACCGGCTGCCGACGCCTGAGGCCTACCCCAGCGTACCGACATATTACTTCTGCCTTCTAAATCATTTTTACGCAGTATAGAGCAAGTTCAACGAGGAATTGTGCATTATATTAATGCTTAGGAAAGACTTAAACTAACATTCAGTGAATTGAATAGTCTGAAACTAAACACTACTCACTTGAAGACTTGCGTAGCCTAGTGGTATCAGAATAATACTTACTCAGCTCAAATATACTAACAGTTCATAAAGAAGGCTTTCTTAGTGGTTGTCTAGCTGTCAGTGCTTCCAACACCTGTCTACACATCCCCAATCAAAATCTGGGTTGGCCGCACCGTGTTAAACATTGCCCCGTTGCCCCATCGGTAAAAATCCCAGGTAAGAGGCACCATTGTGATTCAGCCAGACTGGAGTTAGATTCAGGAAGAAGAGAAAGTTATCATGAAAGATATGAACGTGATACAATGTGATTCAAACAGTAACACGGGTGATATGGAGAGAGGGTGTCTACAAGAGGTGCTAGCAACAGAGGGGCGACGGCCGGGCAGCAGCAAGACGTACCAGGTCGGCGTAGAAATGAATTTGAAATACCGCGAGTGAGATGATACGACGCAGTAATGGTGAGAGTAGCTGCGCGCTGGTGTTGGAGTCTGCAGGGAATGGTTGACTCGGCGTAAGCGGGGAGTCGGCAGATAGTGAGTGGAACAGTCAGCCCAGAGTGGCAGAGTCGGTTAAGAGTGGTTAGAAAAAATAGCGAGATTAGACAAGTGACAGAAGGATATACAGGTCAACAGAGACAAACAATGAAAAGCTGAAAGCGAGTCAGACGGTATTGCTGGTTTGTCTTCATTAGCTAAGGCGAGGCTTTGGGATACCGCCGACAGGTAGGTTGGGAGGGAGGGACCAATTCTGTACTCTAAAAGTACAGCAACATTTTGATTTTCACAGTTCATATTTTTTATTTGTTTATTTATTTATTTACTGTTTTTAACTCGATGAGAATTAGTGTTATTCGAGTTGAACACCACAGAGCGGAGCTTAGGTGTAATTTCCCATGACCGTCTCATTCTGTGGGCGATTTACTAGCTACTCGAATTTATTAGTGAATGCCCATTTGGTCGTTCATAATACAGTATTTATATTTTGTTCTTCTGTTGTGTTGATTTCATTTTCCCTCCCAAGCATACAGATAGCCTAATATATTTGATCCTTGGTCTTCTTCCTAGTATATTTGATCCGACCGGACAGCACGCTGGACTTGTGATCCTGTGGTCCTGGGTTCAATCCCAGGCACCGGCGAGAAACAATGGGCAGAGTTTCTTTCACCCTATGCTCCTGTTACCTAGCAGTAAAATAGGTACTTGGGTGTTAGTCAGCTGTCACGGGCTGCTTCCTGGGGGGTGGAGGCCTGGTCGAGGACTGGGCCGCGGGGACACTAAAAGCCCCGAAATCATCTCAAGATAACCTCAAGATGGTGGTGTGTGTGTGTGCACTGAATGGATGAAAGGCAGTAGGCCTAAAAGAGAGGTAGGCCTAGGGAAGGAGGCTATAAGGTGAGAGAGTAACGATGGAGGTGGTTCGTGCACAATCGCGCTAAACTCATTATATTGTGATAATTATGATAAAAATCTTGTGAGGGAATATGTCCGCGATGACGCAGATGGATCGTGGGGTACCTTACTGCCAGATAAGATAAGGAAAACAAGTGTATATGTAGGCATAGACTAACGGTACATTCATACTAGCGATGAGAGAGAATATCACTGAATACTTGGGAAGGAAGATGTGCACTGGGAAATTCCTCTATGGAAGTAGGCTACATTTGCATATTTTTCATCCCCCGCTAATAAAAGCAAAGTGAGCTGAAGTGAGACTGAAAAAATTCAGTCTCACTACAGCTACACAGCTCCTAAAGGCTCGGAGAGAAGCAGGAGTGATAATAAAGTAGG